GAGAAAAAAAATGTGAAGAAGAGGGCCAGGGTGACAATTTTAGAAGCTTGGGCCGACCAGCGCCATACCGCAAGTGGGCTAGCATCATCTCGCATGCGTGCTGGCGTGCTGGCACCTGTGTGGCTGGAATTTGAGGCTGTCGCGATGTTGACCGCTGAGTGGCCCGTTAGACGTTGAACTGAATCAGGCGGCAGATGGTGATCCGTGATGTCCAGTGAAATGCGACTGTGGGGTTACAAAGCCAAGGTGGACTGGCTATCTCGGCCACGATGCCCACTCGAGCCACTTCTGCTGGTGGGTGCAGTAGAAATGGGATAGGTCGCCATCAACTAGTCTCACTGTGAGGGACTTGAGAGACAGAATGCAACCTGACGAGCCTGTTTGGCGGGTATCGTAGGACACCTCACGCCAGAAGCGGCCACATACCGGCAGACGGCGGCAAAGGGAGAGGGTGTGCCCGAGAGACCGACCGTTGGAGCTGAAGGGAGAAACCTCCGAAGCCGAAGCTGGTCAGCCGTCGAAGGAACGGGAGAAAAAGAATGTTCGGAAGCAAGGGATTGTTGTTCAGCAAGCGAGCTCGCCAACGAGCAAACCCACCAGTGCCCACGCTCGGAGATGTCCCGTTCGGTTTTGCTGAACCATGCCATACGAACAGGCAGACAGAAGAACAATGGATATGCATCCGTGGTGCTGGAATTCATCGCATCTTTCGAGCCCCCACCGAAGGTTCCCATGCCAAATTACCGTCTGCCGGTGTCAGGCTGGTCTTGGACAGATGCTCCGTAACCGACGGCACATGGGCCGACATATGGGTAGACATATGGGTAGAGATGCGCCGCAACTGAGAGAAAAGACCCTCTTGCCATCCCGAATACTGCTTGCTGACCTGTCGACGACTCATCCGCCAAGAACAATGATGGGCCTTGCAGTTCGTATCACATCGCATATGGCACTCCGCTGCCGCAAACATATTTTCACGGGATATGCCCGTGGTGACACAATCGCTCGCAGCAGGAATGCCGTCTGAACAGCTGTACACTGTGTGTGGGTGCTCCGGGCAGAGTCGGGAGCGGTACGGCATTGTATCTGTACGGCTGCGGGTACGCGGCGGACGGGTGTCCATCGCAGTGCTCCGATCGTCGTCCGGATCACGTCTCGCGTGCCAGAGACACTCTGCTCGCGCAGCAATCTCGAAACGAATCGCCATGCGGCTGCAAGGCTCTGCTTTGGCATAATGAAGCACTTTGGATGTCAAAAGCGTTTGGGTTGGGGCAATGCCAGGAAGACTGATAAGCTTGTCTCGTCCCCGGAGGCTTGTGTTTGTGCGTCTGCGCATCCCCAAGCTTTAAATGACAGCTCCCGACCAGTGACAGGCCTCAGCGCACACAGACACGAGATGTTGGGCGAATGGCCGTCCGCCAGTCTTGACATTTTCTGTCGCAGCACATCAGACGAACGACAGGGGGCTGCTCGTTCTCCTGGCTGTGAATGGCCCAAACACCCTCGTCTCTGGAACTCGGCAAGGCCTTCGACGAAACGTAGGAAAAGCGGCGACCTTGACCCTTAAACTCATCGGCGCCCAGCGAGTTTGAGATTGTTTCTCAGACGGGCAAGGCGCCTGCAGGGAGCGAAGAAACATCTCGTCCATCGCGTGCGATAGATGCAAGGGCAAGCCTGCACAGCTTCGCAGTCCACCATCCGAGGAAACATCATCCATCGATCGTCAGAGGCAAAAGACACCGCTGTTGGCCTGTCGTCCATCCCCGCCAAAGGCAGAGAGCCGGGGCGGATTGAGTTGCGATGGCCCGACGGAGTACGAGGCAAAAGTCGGTCTGGCATCCAATAGCTCGAAGCCAACGAGGGGGATAAAAGATTTTCTATCCAGAGTGCTGGGGATACGGCGGAGAAGAAGAGTTGGAAGTGCCTGTCAAAATCTCGTGCACACGATGTGATTCGTGCATCCCGATGTCCCTCTGCCGACCCAACGTGGTGTCACTTCGACGATGCAACAGTCTTTGGTTAGAGTGTCGGCCAGTGAGACGTCGACATGTTCTTGAGTTCCGGTGAGGCATGACAGGTTGCCTTTCCCGTTTCTCGCACTTGCATCGACATGGCTGCACGGTGCGCAGGTACCGGTCCAAATCGGCCAGAAATTTGGCCTGATGCGCATGCCAGGGCGGCTTCTAAAGCACGACGAATCCCATGCAGTTTCCACCAGCATCGTTGTGTTTCGAGGCCACATGATGTTGCGGAGGCGGTAAAGCGTCGTCGATAGGCTGCATGCCCATATGACTTTACGACACTGTCGATATTATCTCGCAGCTCCCGCTAGATGACTCTGGCTCGAGGTATCGCAATATAGCGCCCGCGTCCTCCACCTCGCCCCTTCATGTCAGCGAACAGATTGCATCTTGATTGTTTCCGATATGATATCTCTTGTCCTCGTCGTTCTCATTTAAGCGTACCGCCTGTTCCCAGCGCTTCCAACGTTTCCAGAGTTCGGTGTGTCCGTGGCCCCAGGGCCTGCCCCAGGCGGCCGCAACCAAGCATCTTCGGCTGGTCGGGCCACGGGTTCGTGATTCTTTTTAATTCTGGCATGCGCACTTGCAGGCGTATCAAGGACTGCCAAGAGCGTAGGGTATCGCCCAGGTGGCACCTTGGATCGAAGCTCCCTCCCTGCAGTGCCTGGAGTTGGGGAGCAACGTTGACGGGCCAAGAGGTTTAGAACTTGAGTTTAAGCAGAGGAGCATTCGTGGTATCCGAATGTTTCTCGATTTTGCTGTGCAGTGTCTGTCTATACAGGCGATCTGGGTTTCGCTCCGACATTGAGTTCCGAGCGGGAGCACGTCCATCCGTCGGGTTGCATGACAACTCTGAAAAACTTCTCATGCGGGCGGAAAAAAGGCCCCTAACACAGAAAAATCGAGCATCGTCAGGCTCCGGCGACCGTTTCTGGTGGTCCGACAGAGGGCGGTTGACGGCGGCCACTAAGACGGCAAAGGGGCGTCGGGCCCAATCAGCCGCTTGGAGGCCCTACCGAGGAGGAGATGTCTCCAATCAAGCAGTGGAAGTTGGAGACGCAGACGCAGACGCAGACGCAGAGAGGGTAGACGCTTGCGTTCTTCTTGTCGTCCCTTGGGATACCTAACAAGGCTCGTCTTGTCGCTTGGTGGGCGTCGAGTGTTCCCAAGGTCTTTTCTCCTTGGACAGACATTGATAGGCAACCCCTGCCACCGCCTCGTCTGGTGGTGTGGAGTTTGCTGCTGTGTGCGTGGGTGTGACCAACCACCCCGGTCTCCCATGAACGGCGAGAAGTGGAGTTTTGGCGCTGGGGAGACGTCGACGAGCAGGGGAAACGAACGAGGCTCATGATGGATGACGAAGAATTGTTCAGTTGGCGGTCAACGGAGAACACAGCAGCATGCCTTGTGGTGGCTATGAAAGAGTCATGTTGGTGAGTGATTGGCAGAGTTGGCAGGCACAAGCACAGGCACAAGCACAGGCACAGTCAGTCTGGAAGCCTGCCACCGAAAGGCATTCGAAGTGAGGTGCATCAGCCTGATGGTTGTCGACCAGATGACGGGCGGGCTGAAAGTGCCGACAAAGTTTCCAAAGTCTCGTTCCTCCCTCCAATGCAGGACGAAGACACCATCGCGGGTTTTGGGAATGCCGCTCCCACAGGTCCGGGTTTTGTCGCTTTCGTCTCTTGTAGGTCTCACAACCGCGTGGACAAAGTCAGAGAGGAAGCAGGGCGTGGTGGTGGCTTGAAGCGCCCTGAACCACGGAGATGGTACTCTGTTCAGAGTAGAGGCTCGTCTCGATGCCGGGGACGAGGTCGAATGTCAACGCCACACCGGCGACATTGGGATGCAAATTCGAAAGTGCTGCTGTCGTTGACACGTTTTACTTGAAACGGCACACTTTGGAGATACTGCTCGAGGCATCGCATGGTCCGTCGACAGCTCAGATGGCCAAGGCTTTGGAGGCGCGCTCCTGGCGTTGAGGACGAATTAGCGTGTGGAGCGGTAGATTGTGCAGTCTTGAATGAAGGGGCGTTGTGTGAGGTGTGTAAAGTGGTGGTGTGGTGTGTGGGATTGAGGTATTGGGGTGTCTGGCGATGGTCATCGTGTGGTGGGAGAAGAGGCCGTCATTGTGCTGGGCGAGAAAAAAAAGAGAGGAAGAGGCATTCATTGTGGCACCCCCGTGTTCAGAGGAGGAGGAGCAGACTGCCAGCCCCTACCTTACCCCTACCACACCTACCCCCTACCCCTTCCGACCGTAGAAATCGAAAAGAGGCACACTGTGGTCCCCGTACCCTTTGGACCCGCTCCAGAATTGGACCTGACCAGGATTGGGACTAGGGCAGGGATTAGCCCAGCCAGGAGCCACTGGCCAGGACCAGGAGCAGGGAAAGAGCGAAAAGAGAGTGCGCCAGGGCCAGTCTTGCTTCAGTGCAAGTGCGAAATGTGCAAAGTGCAAAGTGCAGGAGCAAAGAGTGTAAAGTGGGATGCTCCTGATGGCTCCGAGCTTGTCCTTCCTGTCTATCTGGAGGAGTGCAGTTGACATCTGTGCAGAAATGGCCCTAGCACCCTGCTTTTGGCCTACCTAGTCGTCTCTCGTCCCCTTGCAACCTATTTACACAAATGGAGCCCCCATATCCCCATTCGACTTGCTTGTGCCTGTAGGTATCCATATTGCAAGACAAAGCCACCAGACCGACTCGTCCATTAAAATATCTTCGCCTACCCTCCTACTTCTGTCTTCGGTTCTTCTTGGTCTTTTCTCTTCCTACTACTCAAAGACAAACCCACCAAGTCCGTCTTACGATTACAACATCTACATTCGGTAGCAGAGTCTGGTCACGGTCACTTACACACACCACTACCAGTGCCAGTCCAACCTCTCTGCTGTAGATCAGCTACTTTACCACGACTGAAACCGCCCAGTCTCACATTTTCCTCGAGGGATATCGACAGCACCCGTCACCTTTGCAAAAAACCATGTCTCTGGCCGGCCAGACTATGCCCGTCAGGGAGTCGGTTCATTCCAGCAGGGAAGAGGTGGCTACCATCGAGAACAAGAAGGGTCAGCAACAGTCGCAAAGATCCTCTTATAGAGATTCGCTCCCAAACGCACCACGACCTCCCGTCTACTCTGAGGACGCCTACAACGAGAACGAGAACGACAAGATGTACGGCGAATACTCAGCACCCGCCCTACCCGCCAAGAGCTCTTTGAGAGCTTCGAGGCTTCTCGATGGCATGGCCCTCAAGATTATCACCAACCAGCCCACCAACACACAAGCTCCTCAAGAGGTATACCTCTCTTCCGAAGAGGAGGCCTCGTCCTCTGCCGACGAGTTTTCCGACTACGGTTACGACTCGGATACCGAAGAATCAGCGGACTCGCCCGTGAGGAGGAAGAGCCAGGAGGATACCGCCCGTGTTGTGTCTGTTGTCTACGCCGGCAAGCCTTCCATCATCGACCTTCCCTCTACTAGACGATCGGCCTCCCCCGAGTCCATCGAATCTCGACCTTCTAGCAGGCCATCCAGCAGACGCACCAGCCGCTTCGCCATGTCTGCGACCGCGCCTTCGTTGAGGAGAATGTCCACCTCCTCCACCACCGCCTCTTCTTCTTTCTCTCCCGTGCTCCACCCGCCCCGATCCAGCAGTATGATGATCACCAGCAGCATGCTGCCCAAGCAGCCTCCCTCTTTCCTCAACACCGACCCGTGTGCCACTCCGACCTACGAGCAGAGGGCCGAGGAGGAGCAACGTGTCGAGGAGGTCGAGCGTCTCGAGAGGCCCAAGACCCCCACGTCCGCCCTCTTCAGGAGGACACTGAGCATCGTGCGAAAGCGCAGCCGCCCCCAATTGCGGGATCTGGCCGCCAACAACTCTTCGCGTGACAGACTTTCCTCCCCGTCAATGCAGAACCTTCCCCTCAGTGCCAACTCGGACATCACCTACATCAAGGAGGAGGACGAGCCGGCGGCCAAGACCCCCAACAGCCCTTGGTCCGCAATTAGCTACCACGACATCATGCGAGCGGCCAAGAAGAACTCGCAAACCGCTCAGCCCCCTACCCCCTCGACCCCGAGTGTGCCCTCACCAGTATCACCGGCGGGTAACACGAGGAGCCGCATCCTCAGCGGCCTCACGAACAGGAGGAAGAGCATCAAGCTCGGCTAGGCGCCGCGCACCGACGAAAACAAAAAAATTATAAAAGACCAAAAAAAGAAACCACCACCACACGGCGGGAATTCGTGCTTTCGACATATTGCATTCGGATTGGGGATTTGCTTTGCATGCACGGCGCCATAACGGGGACGGGAATATCACGGCGTTTGAAACGGACCCTCGGCCTCGGACAGGCACGACGGGCCACTGGATCACTGGGACCGGCCAACACTTCTTTCTTCGAATGGCGACAGGTTACGACGGGACGAATTTCTTTGAGTGAACAAACTGGGGGAGTAATGTGTAAAGGAGCCAGCGGATGTGGCAGGCTACGGAAGCAGACGCAAAAGCTACACACAATGGATTGTGGTGGCATGTACCAAATGGGCGGCACCGTCGAGACTGAGACCAAGACCGCACCGGCCGAATCGGCCCCCGCGAGACATTGGGGGCGTGGCCTAGTAGACATCATCAATGATACCAACATGTTCTATTTGTTCAAACATGACATTCCTCCCGCATCCGTGACTCGTTAACGCCGATCACCGGCGACTAAAAACGTCGTTACTCACAGCTCGGTCCCGTCAGCTGCTCAGTCCTCGGTTTCGGCCTGGCCAAAAAATCGAGTTGCGATTGGGTCCGCATCCGCTTTGTCGGTCTTTTTTCGCCATGATCTGTGAGTCTGTGACGGCTGACAATTCGAACAGACACATATCGGAGGGGCCGATTTACGCCGACCCGGGCTGACGTCTTTCGATGTGACGCTGTGAACCAACTTGATTCAATTCTGCCTTGCACGCGTCCTCACTTTGGACTTTTTCGGTACTCGCATCTATCTAATTCTAGGTCGGCTTCGCGGGGAGGCGAAGAACGTTGCCCAACTATCGCTCCCGCTGTCTATATGCGTGCCTCGTTCCAGCACACCTCTCCGCAGTATATCTGCGTCGGTTATAGTGCGGCTGGAAAAAGCAGCTGTCCAGCTGTCGAAGATGCGTGCGCGATGAGGCGTCCGTGCCTCTCAATCAGTTCGTCACAACCCCCAAAAAGTCAAATAAACGGTTCACGAGTATTGCTGACGACATTTTGTTTTCTTTTCTTGGCCGCAACACTGGCCTCTCCGCACTCTTCGAGCCCCCAAAAGTAAGTAATGAAATGGAGCCCCCAAACGTGAGGCTTTCGCAATCCCGTAACGATGAAGTCGTCGATGCATTGGGGTCCGCCTGCCGCGCCCGCCCGCCGCCACCACCGCCGGGATGTAGGTTCTAAAAACAAATCGTGAGGCTGTTTAAAGGTCGCTTCCGATGTGGCTCCCCCACCAGCGGCGGGGGGGTACGTAAACGCCTCTTTTTTTCCCTCTATCGCTGCGACCTTAATTCCTTAGGTAAGGTAAGTGGGAGGAAACGATGCCGGAAACGTATCTTTATCGGGCGGAAGGTTCGATCGAACGATTCCATCTTTGTGTTCGTGTCTCTGCCTCTCTCACGCTTGTCTTTCTACGGACCCGGCGTAGTCTAGGGTACCTTATCGTAAAGCAAGAGAGGCGAGACACAGGAAAATAGGGCCCTGGTTGTTGGGAAGGTAATGAATGATGCACGATGCAGGAACACGTTGACGACCATTCGCCTTGCGTCTGCAGGTGTTGGAAAAAAAACTTGGACGTTGAGGAAAACTTGAGAGACCCCACATCACTTATCCGCGCGAGGCGCTTCTTGTTCTGTTTTCCTGTGGTTGGTCAGGCTGCGGATTTGCGGAGTATACGGCTCGCTGTAGAATTGGATTGCTGCAGGTGGCTTTCTGGGTTGTCTGAGATGTCACCGGGCCCTTTGGGAGAAACATGTTTTCTTCTTCTTTTTTCTCCAGTGAACTTCCATTGGATGTGTGCATCACCTGAGTCACTCCTCGACGCACGTTCCGTGGAGAGGTTGATTGTGGTTGAATTCCGTCTGGTGACGGTTGTTTCTGAGAATATCAGACATTTCGCATTCACCGCGCCCCCGTACAGTATGTACATCTCTTACTGCCAAAGTATTGTATCGGCCAGGCTGGAAAAAAAGAGGCTGTTCTGAAGTCTCAATCGCGTTCGTCACATTTTTTGCAAAGGGAGCCTGACACCCCAATGGAAGACACTCACGGATACAGAGAACTACCAAATACAGGGATGGATATGTTTCGTTTGGCTTCCCCCGCCGCCTTGGAATATGAGGACCAGCAAAAACAAGAACAGGGAGAGACTTTTTTGCCCGATCATCGATGCACTCGCGCATTGTCAATCGCGTTCTACCTTAGGTACGTTGAAAATCATCAACAAAAAAACCCAGACAACTCCATCCCGGCACCGAGTTGCGAACGTGCGTACGTGTAAAGTGCCATTCCCATTTGGTGGATGTAACTCTCCAAACGCAACCCCGATTGCGTGCGGATAGCTCAATCTCTATGGGACGCGTCTCTTGCAGGGTATGGCTTGCGATGATTGTTGTTCTTCTGGTGGACTCGGTGGTTTATTAACAGAACGGGCTGGAAGTCGTCGTCAGACCCGGAACATCCCTGGAGGCGGTTGGTATAACGCCCGGCGGAGGAGTTATATTACCTGGGTACCAGACCAGCAATGCTGAACCGCGCCGTCGTCGCGGCCGGTGCTCCGCAGCGAGAAGCCCGGCCGGCCGGCTGGAGACTCTAGGCTGCGGGCCGTACTTTGACGATGTGGGCGGCGCGCGGCGGCCCCGGGTCCTGCTACCTTAGTCTCCCCCCACTTTCACTTTAGAGATTCCTGCACTGTTCGACTGAAGTACTCTTTGGTTGTTTCAAACAGTTGGTTCATATGAGATTTGAAATAAGATTCATGTTCTTCTGTAAACATGGTTTATTCAAGACAAACGGCGCCGGATTTGAGATTTTTCTTTGGGCGGGGGCAGGGGTGTGAGTTGGTCTTGGGATACGAAGTTATTTTGGGGGAGTTGGTGTTTCTTAAGTCAGAGAGACACAGATGCTTTGAGTGAGAGTGGGACGATATACATAAACACAAGCAAAACACACACAAAAGCCGTGGTCCGTCGGGTCGGAACCGGCAATGGGAATTAAGGAACAGCAATTGCTGTTGCTCAGTTGTCTGGGACAAACGTGAAAGCGGATTGGATGAGGAGGTTCGGATGTTGGTTGAGCAGAACATGTCGTGCGACGTTTGATCGCGATTGGCCCGTCGGTATTTCAAGACGGCACGTCTAGTTGCATTCCGGCGAACGGCTCCCGTGGTTGAACGAACAGCGACCACGGCCGATGACGTTGGACATGTAATCAATCTGACCGGAGAAGTGCGTTCAATCGCAACGTCTGGTTATGTTTCCCGTCGGAACGCCGCATTAGCCTACCGTACTGCCGACAGAAACATACCACCACATCCACGCCCCGCCATGTGCCGTGGGCTGCATTCCTTTTGTTGAGCAACGCCGGAGGAGGTCATGATCGGCCGTTCGTGTTCATCTCACACATATCCCGACACGTGCGCGGACCGGCGGCGGTTGCAAACGCACAAATTCCAGAAGAAAAAAAACCGAGATTCCCATATGCACTGGGCGGGTTTTTCTTGATGATTTCATCTAGTGCAGCGGTGTATGAGACCGCTCGCAACACACGCGCGCAACGGATTCCCAGCGAGATGGATAGACCGGCTTCAGCTGCCTGGAGTTGATTGGGTGTGTGTGTTGTAAGTCAACGGCGACGGGAATTTCGAGCATCGCAGGGACGATCCCCGGGGTCCGGCGGGTTCGTTCGAGGAAGATGCTCTCAACCACGAACGAGATCCAAGAATAGACCGAGATTTTGTTTTGGTCGACTGTTTGCGTGTCGTCATGCGGCGGGCGGGACGAAGCGCGTTGTCGATATCAGGCGCGTGATATTGGGCATTATGGGCAACGTGATGGGATGCTGAGTCGGGGCAGGCCGCGATTAAGCTTCAGAGTGGCCAAGACGACATCTACCTCAAACACGTCGCCGTCTTTCTTTAGAACGATGGCAATCTATCAATTGTCGCAACCATGATATCCATACGGGCCACTCTGCAAGTAAGTTAAGATTCGATCAGGTGAGGCTCGGCGATGATAAACTAGGCCGAACCAGAAATCATGACCAGCGGACTGTTGGTGATTTCCGCTCGGCTTTCCCGCAATTTTAACTACGTTGCAGACTACGCCTAGCGTCGGGGTCCATCTGTCGCAATCAATTCGAATCACGAATCTCTCTCGCTGTTCCCTCAGCCTTAGGGTGTGGACGGATTTCGTGATCACCCGATTCCCAAAATGGGATGACCAGGTATTCGTGGAAGACCAGTGCGAACCGGTCTGTGTGTGAGCTTCTGGCTCTGACCCTCATCTCATCTCATCTCCTCATTTAATCTTGATGTTGACGTCGTGCCTGCACTAGCACATATTGCGAGTGCGATTGAGTGCGGGCAATCGGAATTTGAGGCTGCTTAGTGCTGTTGCGGCAGCACACGTGTGCAGTTCTCGCGAGTTGTGGAAGCATCGGGATGGCGAGGTGATGTGAGGCTTGGCGTCGTGCGAAATAGATTCCGATCCGCGGCTCGGCCGGGGTTTCACGGTCTCCCTCGAAGATTGAGGTTCCATCGGGCCATCGGGGTCTTCAGTCGTGGTCGTAGGGGTGGCCGGACGCGATGCTACCATCACGGCCGTCGCCACAGCACACCGCTACACCGCTGCTTGTTTCTCTCCAGCGTTGTACTGTGTCCCCCGCAGGAGCGGAATTGAGATTTGCTCGCGCGAGATGGCTGACGAGTGCGCGTTCCGTCATGTCATACCATTGTCGGTCATGATCTTCGCGCGGATGCGCTTTGACGGGGGATCCAATCTTCTCTCTGTCTCTCCCCCATCGTGGGGAATTTGGCGATCTGCTGCTGCGCGTGCGCGCTTGCTGTGCTGGTCGAAATTATGCTCGAGTCAAGGCCACGCAGCTCAGGATCGCCAACTCTTCGTACTTTGTACAGCCTTGCGCAGCTAGCG